ACATGTCTTTGAAAAGGTTGATTGATTTTATTAAGGATCATTAATGCTTTGTTTTGTGTCATTAACGTGTTTGGTCTGTAACAAGACAACTGCCCGCTTACATGAAGCTTAAAGAAAGTGAAATAAGGGAGGAGGCAGGAACAAACCCTAAACTAATGATGTGCAGCCGTCAGACGCTCCTCATTAAGACCCTCGCTGTGACATTTCTGGGTTTTTGTGTGTGATGTGTACAGAAACAGGGATCCTCCTGTATCTGAGGGAATCAGCTTGTGGAAATGACGAGCAGTGAGATGTGGAAAGATTGTCTTCCTCTTCCTCGTTCATCTGCATAATGTAAGAAATCAGAGAGCTCGTTTAAATCAGACTTGTGTGTTGTGTTCGGAGGTTAATGCTGAGACGGTCTGTCACATCAGGTCACATAAACCCTGCAGTTTGGGTTAAACACTGTGTTAAACCCTCGCTGAGTGGAAGGATCATGGGCTGTTGGGATCGGGGTTAGAAAAACATCTTTATCCAAACTGACATCATTCCATAATTCATCATTCTAATTTAGCTTTTTTTTTTTTCTCTCCAAGCCAAATATTTACAGCAAAAAAGCTCATCTAGGAAATCTACAGCATTTAATCATTTAAGATTGGCTTGTTGTTGTAAAGGTTTTAATCTTAATCAGATTGAATCCCTTAATCATTATTGTAATTATTTCCTTTGAATTTAGAGCAGTTTGGACACGCCCCGAAAGACCAGAGAATACACTGTGTGTAAATAATCAGACATTTACGATAATAAAACGAGGGGGTTATGGTGGTCCAGCGTTCCCCGGTCAGTCCCGAGCTCGGGTTCCTGCTCCGGGTTCTCGGGTTTCCTCCCACCTCCAAAAACATAGTGTCTCTAAATCAAAGGTGTGAATGAAGGTGTGTGAGATGGATTAGCTTCCCATCCAGGGTGTATTCCCACCCAGTGTTCCGGGACAGACTCCGGATCCTCCACCACCCTGACTGGATAAAGAGCTTACTGAAGAAGACTGAAAGAGTGGATATGAAAATAATATCAGCAGTGTTGAACTCATGCAGTGTTTCATCAGAACCTGCACACACCTCCGGACAGAAAAGGGTCTGAGATTAAACATGAAGATTCCACTAAGAAGTTTCAGGACCTCGTAATGAAAGAAGAAAGATCTTTGCAACAAGGATCTGTCGGTTACACGACCCAAAGAACCCGTAAATGGTCTTCCAGGATCAGTTGATTTTAGAGTTGTAGAAGCGTTTAGTCCAGGTGGAGAAGCTTCGATATCATGGGGTCTTATTGATAAGTGAAAGAAGGAGTACGAGATTGAGCTCAGGTTATATACGTGACTGCACTTGTCTTGTTCTCCGGGATAGCGTGATGATCTCTGGGTAAATCCACTTCTCCTCTGAGCTGCGATGAGGTCTGATCAGGAAGGAAACCAGATGAACATCTGGACAGTTCGTGTGAGTCTGTGCTGTGTGTGTTAACTCCTTATCGTTTCAGACTATTGTTCAGTTATTCGTCTTAAAGCCCTTTATTCAGTAACTGCGGGAGTGTAAGGGTTAAATCTATTATGACTGACTGAGTACAAGGTGAAAACACACCTGTGCTGAATTCAATACTGCAAAATGTATTATTGATAATGATGACTGACCAGTTTATGTGTGTGTGAGTGTGTGTGTGTGTGTGTGTGTGTGTGTGTGTGTGTGTGTTTAAATTGTGAATCACCTCGATATTTCACTCACATGTTCTGCATCTGCAGCTTCGCCCGTCGCTGTAAATAAGGAATCTGTTCTCAGTGACTCGCTCCGTGAAATTAAAGGTTCAATTCAATTCCATGCAAATCCTGATTGATTCTTTAGAGACGTCCTGCACATCTGTTCTGCTCTGTTCAGCTCCTGACACACCTGAGCCAGGTAACTGAGGCTCGCAGGACAGAGACGCACACCTCCGCCGTTTAATCCCGGAGTGTTTTCCCTGCTGTAACACACCTGAGTCAACTGCTGGAATATATAACAATAATAATAATAATAATAATAATAATAAGTGGAGGAGTTAAATCAGGTGTTCGAGCAGGAGAACAGGCTGCAGGAGAACAGGCTGCAGGAGAACAGGCTGCAGGATAACGAACAGGAGAAGTAAAGATGGTTTATTTATTTCGTGCTGACTCTGCATTAGATGAGTGGAGTGTTTCGAAGTGTTTTATTATACCACTCTTATACCACAGCAACTTACCCACAATTTCAACTTTATATATTAAAGAATGTCTTTTTATTTATGTTTATAGTTACATGTATGATGTTGTGAAATGAGTCGGTTCTTGACATTTACGTTATAGCAGTTATATAAAGAAGTGTGAACTCTGTCCTGAAAGTTACACAGCACTGACACTGGAGACTCCTTCCATACACGTTACCAAAAAAAGCATTTGTCCTTACAGAAAACTTAATATCAACAATCTCTACGTACACGTCCCTGAGAACGAGCCGTTGCTATAGAAACGATAACGTATTAGCGAGTGTATTAATATAAACCTGAGCTACTGTCAGAACCGCTGTTCTAGAGAACTAATCACTACCTTCTGACCAATCACAGTCCAGCATACAGCAGTGCTGTGGAGTGAAAAGGGAACGATTAGATTCCTCTCAGATCCGTCGGATTGTGCTGAAGCCAACGTCCACACTGACACATGGATCACTTCAGGTCGTTTATTTTATTTATCTCAGACACTCAAATGTACAACCAGATTTAAGGCACATGAAGACAGGCTTCCGTACAGTACAGCGCTCCGTTACCAGATTAGGAGCTTTATAATTCCACACTAATAAATAAAACTCATTTAATAATAAAAACTGCGTCCCAAACGCCAGATTCTCTCCCGAACGTTCCTAAGACTCGAATGAAGCACTAGTGTTTGGGACGCGGCCTAAAAATGTAGGTAAATAAATACAGACGCTTGTAGAATAAAAAGTGTGTACTTGTAAAGTTTTTGTACAGTTTCAGCATTTATTCATTTAGCGAAATAAACCAATGATCAGCACGGTACCGCGCTGCAGCTTGTTGACGGGTTTGTCCTTTATTACGGACATGGAGTTATTCACTTTGTTTATTATTCACAGTTTCACAGCATCACGACGGGTCACGCTTTAGCCTGGAGTATTTCATGTTTAGCCCAGTCCTGCCATCCTCCTGGATAATGCTGTGCACTGCACACACACACACACACACACACACACACACAGAGACAGAGTTAAAAACACTGGAGTTTAACTGGAATAAATGTCTGAGGAAGAGCAGTGTGCGAGTTACTGGTTAAAGAGATATCATGTAAGTAATCGAACTCTGATGATGATGATGTGTGAAAACTCTTCCTCACTTGGAGTATCCTAAAGACTGAGCTGCTTCCAGAGCTTTCTGACTCCTCACACCTGCCAGACAGGTAAAGACCAGACGCCCACCAATCGAAGGCATTTCACCTCCATATCTCTCCTTAAACTCCTCCGGCTTCAGCTGCAGAGCTGCACTCAGCTGACCCACTGCGCGCACACACACACACACACACACACACACACACACACACACACACACACACCACCACCATCATCATAGTGATCATAATAATAATAATAATAATAATAATGTTATTTATACAGAATACTTTACTAGGTGGTGTGAGTGAAAACATTTAACATTCAACATTAGAGTTCAGTTAATTAAAAAATGAAAGAAAAAAGTTAATTAAATTTTTTTAAATCTAAATAATTAGAAATGTCAAGTCTAAAGCCAGGGAGAGAATCCAGAGTTGTTGTTGTTTATTATTATTGAATCACTCAATCAATAAACAAACAATCGAATAAATAAACAAATAAATGCGCTTCTGTTCTCCTCACCTGTGCAGCAGTTCTAGGTGATAAAATGGATTATATGATGTGACCCACACTGCCTTTGCAATGAATATCATTGAGATTTCCCCCGTTATTAATCTCTTTATATAGACAATTTCTATACATTTCTATTACATATCCTGCATGGAGATGAAGCGAGTTACTCACGTGGCACGTTAATGGAGCCCGGTATACTGCCGTATTCCCGGAGCTCCCACGGCTCTCTCACGTCGATCAGCACACCTGTCCTGACCACAAGCAGCTTCTTCACCTGCTCATACGTCACTGACACCGCGGGCTGGTCAGCGGAGGAGAACCCGCGCGTGCACGGGGCTATCCACGGGGCTGTCCACGGGGCTGTCCACGGGGCTGTCCACGGGGCTGTCCACGGGGCTGTCCTCGGGGCTGTCCACACCCCGGCATGCCGAGCTGACACGCGAACACCAGCACTTTGAAGACACACGTCACCTACGGCAACTTTACGACACTTTAAATCACGACACCTGAAACCATCTGACCGTAACAACGCACTTAGCGAGCTCGTGACTCCAGCGGTCTCTCTACACAGCCTCGCTCTAATCATTCTTTACAGTATCGACATACTTCTGTTCTGTCACGGAAAACATCTGTAAACGTTCTGAATATGACGTAATGAAAGTCAGGCTAGTAAATAAAGTTACTCACACGAGCAGCGCGAGGCGAGCGCTCTCACAGTCCCGCTTCTGTTTTCTCCAGCCCGTGAAACACACCTCGTCAGGCGGCGGCACGCGTTTAAGGCCATTTAAAGTGTCTTTGTTTCTATATTTGTTTCAGGTTTAGTTGACAGTGGAGTTGAGCACTCTGCGGAACGCCCTGATTCCGAGAACCGGCGGGTCAGTTGTTTCTCCCAACCGCATTCATAGCAATCACTTCCTCCTTTGGTGTGATTGGCTAGAGCGGTCCAGAGTCCTGGGCTGTGATTGGATAATGTGTAACAACCGTTTGTGGTGAGCCAATCATGTCATAGGAGGCGGGTCTTATGGAATGTGTGTAGGAATAAAAAAAATAAAATAAATAAGGATTGAACCGCCCACTTACTACCTTACTTCCGTTTGATTTTGAATGTATTAGTGCAGGGTGGATTAGTGGTTAGCGCCTCACAAGTCCAGGTCGGGGGTTCGAGTCCCGCCGCTGCCCTGTATGTGTGGAGTTTACATGTTCTCCCCGTGCTGCAGGGGAACACTCCAGGTACTCCGGTTTCCTCCCCCAGTCCAAACACATGCATGGTAGGCTGATTGGTGTGTCCAAGGTGTCCGTAGTTTATGAACGGGTGTGTGAGTGTGTATGTGATGTGCCTTGTGATGGATTGGCACCAGGGTGTACCCCGCCTTGTGCCCCATGCTCCCCGGTATAGGCTCCAGGTTCCCCGCGACCCTGTAGCTACAGGCGGTATAGAAGATGCTGCTATAAATTGTATTTAATAATGCAGCAGGTATTCGTGTGACACCCCACTATTTATACAGAGTATTTCGAATAAAATTGTATTTCCATGACAAATTCCCAACATTGTTAACAACAGGTTTAGAACCAAGACCGTTAGATTTTTAATTGGAATCAGTTTTAAGACGTGAAAACGAGAAAATATATTTATTTCCAAAACTCCTTCGAGAAAACACAATTACAAAACACGTGAATAATCCTTTCTGGTTCTACATGACAGATATTACACATCAGATTTAAACTTTATCTTCGTCAGTCAGTAAAAACCTTTAGGAACCTTACGGGCTTTCGTAGTTTTTTTTAAAACAGCGCTTCCGCATTCGTCACGGAGACGTCATGCTCGATCACGTGACACCCGCAGCTTCCGTGTTGTTTCGAAATGCCACAAACTGCGCTCTTCAGTCCGTGATAATGTGATAATAATAATAACAATCATTTAATTTCAGGATAAACATATCGGAGATCATAATATCGCGGAGGAAAAGGAGCAGTTATACATTTATATTTTATCCGGAGACTTTGGGACGAGTGTCAGGTAACAGGAGCTGCTGTAAGTGGCGTTAGCTTCGTATGCTAATCCTGAGAGAGAGAGAGACATAAGGAGGGGGGGAGAGAGAGAGACAGACATAAGGAGGGGAGAGAGAGAGACAGACATAAGGAGAGGGAGAGAGAGACATAAGGGGAGAGTGAGAGACATAAGGAGGTGGAGAGTGAGAGAGAGAGAGACATAAGGGGAGAGTGAGAGACATAAGGAGGTGGAGAGTGAGAGAGAGAGCGAGAGAGACAAGGAGGGAGAGAGAGGAGAGCAGAGAGCGAGATAGACAAACAGAGAAAGAGAGAGACAGACAAAGATAGATAGAAAGACAAAAGTGGGAGAAAGGGGAAAAAAAGTGAGTGAGGTACATGAGCTGTGGAGTTATTTACTCACTTATTGTGTGTGTGTGTGAGATACACTGTGTGTGAGTGTGTATTTGAGAGAATGTGTGTGTGTGAGAGAGAGTGTGTGTGTGTGTGAGAGAGAGAGATAGTGTGTGTGTGAGAGAGAGAGTGTGTGTGTGAGAGAAAGAGTGTGTGTGTGAGAGAGAGAGAGTGTGTGTGAGAGAGAGAGAAAGTGTGTGTGTGAGAGAGAGTGTGTGTGTGAGAGAGAGAGAGTGAGTGAGTGTGTGTGTGTGTGAGAGAGAGAGAGAGAGGTGAGTGTGTGTGTGTGAGAGAGAGAGTGTGTGTGTGTGTGTGTGTGAGAGAGTGTGTGTGTAGAGAGAGAGTGTGTGTGTGTGAGAGAGTGTGTGTGTGTGTGAGAGAGAGAGAGAGAGAGTGTGTGTGTGTGTGTGAGAGAGTGTGTGTGTGTGTGTGTGTGTGTGAGGGTTTTGTGATGTACCTTTATTATTAATCGTAATCTTGAGCTTTATTCGGACGGGATTAGTTTTCTGGGCATGTGATTTGATTGACAGGTGATGAGTGTGTGTGTATAAATGACACATAAATGGGCGTGTCCTCACACATAAATGGGCGTCCTTACACAGAAATGGGCATGTCCTCACACATAAATGGGCGTGTCCTCACACAGAGATGGGTGTGTCCTCACACAGAGATGGGTGTGTCCTCACACAGAGATGGGTGTGTCCTCACCTTGTACTCCATGTGTCCTACACATGTCAGTTTAACACACTCTGATGGTTCTGCTCTTTATTATAAGCGGTTGTTGTAGGGGGCGTGGCCTGCCGTGAGGGATTCAGACTAAAATCCCAGAGGTACATGACACGCCTCCACACGGGGACCTATCCCCGTCTGAACAGGGCTTTGATCTGCGCCGTGGGTTTATTCTGCGGTTTAGTAACGTCTGTCTGTTGATGTGTTCTTTCACCTGTTTCAGGTAGATGTGTTTACAGATGTTCCTCTTTTCCAGATACAAATGCGGCTAAAAGATCCCTTCTCCTTAAAAGCGTCGGAGATGACGAAGCGGTCCACCAAGCCGAAGAAACCTCGGGAAGAGGACTCGTCAGACGAGGTTAGCGGTAAGGAGAAAGGTTTCCATTCCTCCTTTAGGGATAATTACACGTCCGTATTCAGGCTTCACCTCAGCCACTTGTTCTTTTATTTATGGAGGAAAATGATCCAATATTACTCATCTGTGAGCGGCAAAAGTATGTGCACCTCTAGGATTAGCAGTTAATCTGAAGGTGAGATTGGAGTCAGATGTTTTCAGTCTGTGGGATGATGATCAGGTGTGAGTGAGTGAGCGTCCTGTTTTATTTAAAGAACTGGGATCTATCAGAGTCTGATCTTCACAACGTGTTTGTGGAAGTGTATCATGGCACGAACAAAGGAGATTTCTGAGGACCTCCAGAAAAAGAGTTGTTGAAGCTCATTAGGCTGGAAAAGCTCAAAGAACCATCTCTAAAGAGTTTACACTCCACCGATCTACAGTCAGACAGATAGTGTACAAATGGAAGAAATTTAAGACCATTGTTCCCCTCCCCAGGAGTGGAGACCAACAAAGATCACTCCAAGAGAAAGACGTGTGATAGTCCACGAGGTCGCAGAGGAACCCTGGGGAACTTCTAAGCAATGGAAGGCCTCTCTCACATTGTCTAATGTAAATGTTCATGAGTCCATCATCATCAGAACACTGAACAACAATGGTGAACATGGCAGGGCTGCAAGGAGAAAGTCACCGCTCTCCAAAAAGAACACTGCTGCCCTTCTGCAGTGTGTTAAAGATCACGTGGACGAGCCAGAAGACTAACGGAAAATATTCTGTGGATGGATGAGAACAAAACAGAACTTTTGGTTTAAATGAGAAGCGTTATGTTTGGAGAAAGGAAAACACTGCAATCCAGCATAAGAACCTTCTCATCTGTGAAACATGGTGGTGGTAGTGTCAGGGTTTGGACCTGTTTTGCTGCATTTGGACCAGGACGACTCGCCATCACCGATGGAACAATGAGTTCTGCGTTATATCAGCGACGTCCAGCGAAGGACAATATCAGGACATCTGTCCATGAACTGAATCTGAAGAGAAAGTGGGTCATGCAGCGAGACAGCGATCCTAAACACACGCGTCGTTCTACCACAGAACGGTTAAAGAAGAATAAAGTGAATGTTTTAAAATGGCCGAGTCAGAGTCCTGACCTTAATCCAGCAGAAATGTTGTAAGCAGTTCATGTGAGGAAACACACCAACACCCCATGAAGCTGTTCTGTACTGAGGAACGGGATAAACTCCTCCGAGCCGACGTACAGGACCGAGCAGTTTTTTTTATATTTCTATTCGGAGTGGGAACGAGAACTTCATACCAGTTCATAGACCTGCTCTAAAGTGCGTTTCAGCACGCATGAAAACAGATGCTTTTCCCCAACTCTATTCTTAATATGACACACTTTACACTTCTCACTGTGTGTGTGTTGTGTGTGTGTGTGTGTGTGTGTGTCAGGACTGACGTGTCAGCATGTGAGTAAAGCGGTGGAGTTGAACTCGGTGAAGAAAGCAGTGACGGGAAGTTTGTGGTCTGTTTGCTCCGACTGCATGAGGGAGAGAGACGTGTTCGAGTCGGAGCAGGCCGGAGCTTACGACATCCTGGTGTGTCTCAAGTGTGGCTTCCAGGTAACATCATCATCATCATCATCATAATAATAATAATAATAATAATAATAATAAGGTAATTGATGAGGTATTACCCAGATTAATATGAAACCACTCCATATAGATTTTTCAGTGTAGAATATCTTATACTTGTGAATGTTTTTCATACTATTTAAAATGTCTACTATTTTAATGATCTTTTTGTTTATGTTGGCATGGTGATAAAAAATAAACACCTATCATAAATGTGTGTGTGTGTGTGTGTGTGTGTGTGTGCGCGCGCACAGGGATGTGGTCAGTCAGAGCGGCAGCACTCAGTGAAACACCAGCAGGCTCATCACTCAGACTCTCACTGCATCAACATCAGCCTCAGCACCTGGAAGGCCTGGTACACACACACACACACACACACACACACACACACACACACACACACACACCTGTCAGAGTCAAACTTCTACATTTTACAAGCTTAGTGTAATAAGTGCTATAAGGGGGTTTATACTATTGTTTGTCTCCTCAGGTGTTTCGAGTGTAATGAGGAACTCTCCACACACTGCAATAAAAAAGCTCTGGCTCAAACACTCGACTTCCTTCAGAAACACTCGGCCAAGTCAGCGTCAGGTAAATCACCTCCACCTTCATCATCACACCTTCATCATCACACCCTCATCATCACACCTTCATCATCACACCTTCATCATCACACCTTCATCATCACACCTTCATCATCACACCCTCATCATCACACCCTCATCATCACACCTTCATCATCACACCCTCATCAACACCTTCATCATCACACCCTCATCATCACCGCCCTCATCATCATCACCCCTTCATCATCACACCATCATCATCATCACACCCTCATCATCACACCCTCATCACACCCTCATCATCACACCCTCATCATCACACCCTCATCATCACACCATCATCATCACCATCATCATCACACCATCATCACACCATCATCATCACACCCTCATCATCACGCCCTCATCATCACACTCATCATCATCACACCTCATCATACACCTCATATCACACCTTCATCATACACCCTCATCATCACACCTCATCATCACCTCTCATATATAACATCTCTACACCTT